CATCATGTAAATTGTCATCATTAAATTGTAATAATCTACTATATAGTACTCTCTCCGTCCCATTAGAAGATTCTCAGTTTCCTTTTTTGGACGTCCCGCTTGAAGGTTCCCATTTCCATTTTAGGAAACAGTTAACAATTTTAAGTGACAAATTAATCATTAAATATTAAAAATAATACATTTATAACATCACAGTTATCAATATTAACTACATTATACTATATACCTATTAAAATTATTTCTCAAAATAAACTCAAAGTACTTTATTCAATTATTGCCTAGATAACCGTGACATTTTGCTATGGGAATCTTCCAACGGGACGGAGGTAGTATCACACATTAACAACTTTATAGTGACGAGTCGATCCAATGTTAAAAGTAAAATTAGCAGTACTTACTTTAAACATTTTTTAGTTAGTCCAATTATAGACATTGCTTAGCATTCTATTGAGACTTGTAAAACCCAACAAGCTAATAAGTTATGTTTCTTGAATGGAGGGAGGAGAAAGGACGAGAGAAAAGCAGAGAGCATAATTTAGGGCAGCTTGGTAGGGGACATGAGGAAACACCATTTGTTTTGCATTTGCTCTCCCGAGTACAATAACCTATGTGCTACGTGAATCAGACGCCACTCTTACATTACAACTATATTTTAAAACAAGAATTGCATGTATAGTTTTGTACTCCCGTCATCCCAATTTGATTTGTAAAATTTCTTATTTTAATCGCTTACAGGTAGATAATAATCGCAAAAAGGTGAAGGGGCATCAGCGCATCACACCAGAGAGATGAAACCCTGGCGTGCGCCCGCCGCTAGGCTCCTTACGCGTAGCAATCAGACGACACAGAGGCAGGTTTCGGCGCTGGAATCACGGCCTCCATCCACAAGGGATGCTCGACATTCGACTGTGTGCATAGGTACGTTTTTTGTTCAGTGCTACTTCGTTGAGGTGCTTTGGTTGAGGTAGTTGTCCGGCGTTTCTGTGTTGCCGAGAATTTTGTCCGATTGAGTTTTCTCCGGCCGAGAGTTTGCTCTGTTCCAATTGTGAACGTGTTTTGTACTTTTGATTGTGAGTTCCGCGACATCTTCTTCAATTATCTGTCTCGGATCTGGCGTTCATTTTGTTGGCTATTAATGGAGAGCTTAAATCAGGCTTGTGAAAGGATGTCAATCGAGGAGGTTGATGGTGAGGGATCAAAAAATGGCAAGACGGTGGTGCTCCCGGATCATCACCGCCTAAAATATTGACAGGTCCCGTAAACGAGATGATTCCTTTGGAGGTGGATCGTCAAACCTCTTCTCCCTTCCTGGTGACCGGTAAAATCGGGATGCTTCCTTTGAAGTGGATGGACAAACCTCTTCTCCCTTCCTGGTGACTGGTTAAACCGAGATGCTTGATTTATTTTTTTGCTTTTATCTAAAGAATTCTTGTTTAGTTACTTCCCATTTTAGTAGCAAGTTCATAAGTGCTCTTAGATTAGTCTACATCGTTGCAGAGTTGGGGAATATGATCAGTCCTTGGGGGCTAATTGATTCTATGTCTCATCTCAGTGTAGTCTTGAGCTATTGTATTGCTTTATCTCTTGTTATTTTTCTTAGAGATATTACCCGAAATAGGATTAAAACGGTTTGAAAATTCCAAAATAGAACTGCCATGTTTTTATTCCCAAAATAGGACTAATTACTCCCATGTTTTGGCAATACCAGACTTCAAACATGTCAGTATTTTCTAAACATGTCAGTAATTTGTCCTATTTTGAGAATAAAAAACATGATAGTCATATTTTTGAATTTTAAAACTGTTTTAGCCTATTTTGGGAACTTTACCTTTTTCTTATTAATATACGATAGTATAAGATATCTTCTTTCAAAAAAAGAATTGCTTACGTATAGAATTAAATTTTACTTTCCCATTTTCAATCTTGTTCGACGGACTATGCTTTATGATGAAAAGGGCAAAATGGTGAATCGAATACTCTGTATAAGTTTATATCATTCTCCGTATCACATTAATTGCAACATTAGAATATATACACTATTCATGTACTTTACTTTGACTGCATTTTATTTATTAATGTATATGAATTATTTTTTTTTTGGAAAATATTGTTAGATTCATCTCATTACTAAGTTTTATAATCTAATTTATATTTTTTTTTACTAATACAGAATTAAATATAATGATGGTCAAAGTTGTGCGTTGACTATTGCAACTACAAAGAGAGGGAGGAAGTATGTTTTCTTAATCCGTGTTTTGGTCAACTTTTGCAACTCAATTCTGGACAAAAAGAGTATATTTTCAAGAGTAATGAGAGAGTGAAACTTCAGCATACCGTAATTATGGTACCGAGTTACTCACGCAAATTATATGGTGCAACCGGCGCACCATGAGGATGGTGCGCCCGGTTGCAAAAACGACGCAGCATCTCCTTTTTTTTTGCTTTTGATGTTAAAAATGATAACTTTTTTATTTTTGATCCGATTTTTATAAAATTTATATCAACATTTTTTATTTTTCATGATCTTTCAAATGAGACCAATATTGTGTATGTAATTTTAAGAAATTATCAAACTATTATATTAATGAGTATTGGATTATAAGAAAAATCGAATATGTTTGGGAGATGATAGGTTTGTGAAATAGAAGATCGAATCTGTTTGGGAGTGGATCAGTGGCCTCAGTTACATTTGATAATACATTGAGTTACATCTTTTTATGAGCGAGTTACATCTTTTTATAAGCGCGTTACATCTTTTTATAAGCGAGTTACATCTTTTTATAAGCAAGTTACATCTTTTTATAAGCGAGTTACATATATACATACACACGAGTTGCATTTGACATGTCTGAACGTGACTTACATATATTTACACGTAAAGTTACATATTTTTACACGTAAAGTTACATATTTATACACACGAGTTGCATGTGACCTGTCTGAATGCGAGTTACATATTTTTTTTACGTAAAGTTACATATTGTTACACGTAGAAATACATATTTATACACACGAGTTGCATTTGACTTGACTGAACGTGAGTTACATATTTTAACACTTAAAGTTACATATTTTACACACAAATGTTAATATATTAAAATTACATAGGCAATATTGGTCTCATTTGAAAGATCATGAAAAATAAAAAATGTTGATATAAATTTTATAAAAATCAGATCAAAAATTAAAAAGTTATTACCATTTTTTAAGAAAAAGGAAAAAAAAATATAAAGTCGTCCCGGTATACGGTGCTCACCGTATACCGGTTGCACGTTATACGCACTCAGTTACTCATATACATTATTGTTACATACTACGAAAATTTTAAATTGATTGGAAATAGTGAAATACAAAAGTACAAAACCACCCTAAGACTAAGTAATTACGTTATATCCATGTTACTGTTTGATTTATTTTTCTTTAAGAAATTAGCCATAATAGGACTTAAACATGCTAAAAAACTCATATTAGGACTTACCAAGTTTTCTCTCGTTGATAGGACTTATACGGTCCTATCTTACGTTTTACTACTTTAGGAAATATCCTAAATACCCCTGTTCGAAGTTGGCTGAGATCGTTTACAGGCACCTAAAATTTACCGGCCTTTTTCGGTTATCCAGTTTGAAGCTGTTAAGAGTTTCCGTTTTCTTGTTAGTTTCCTTATCCGAGTAGTTTCCTTGTTCGTCAATTCTGCATCTTTTTCCTGCATTCGTCCATTCTGAGTACGAGTTCATAGCTGCCTGTGTTTCGTTCTTTTCAGGGTATGTTCACTTCAAATTTAAAGCTTTCATAATACTGGCCGTGATTCTGTTTCCGTTCGTCAATTGAGCATTCTTTTTCTGCATTCGTCAATCCTTCTGTGATTCGCTTTTTTCTGCATTCTTTTTCCTGCATTCCTCAATCCTTCTGTTTTTTCCTTCCAGCTCTGTTTTTTTCTTCAATTTCATATTATCGATCCTTTCATCATATGATCGCTTTCAAATTCGTTATAATCAACAATTTATTTCGTATGTCGTTGTACTCTGTTTTATTTCATTAAATTTCATCCGCTACTTTAGATATCAGTTTGTTTCTACAATTTATTTTGTTTTTGTTAAATTCTCTATTCGTCTACCTAAATTATGCCCTTCGAACTGTCATTTTGTTTGTTCGAACTGTCATGTATATGCATTTTTTGATTACTCCTTTTTATGTTCTGTAATTGTATATAATTGGTACACATTCTTATAAACTGTCATATTGTTAACACAACTGTCATAATTTTGTCCAAACTGTCATTTAGTTTGTGCTACGTTCCTACCTGTATATGCATTTTTTGATTTCGCCTTTTTATGTTCTGTCATTCAATGGTACACATCCCTATAAACTGTCATATTGTTAACAAAACTGTCATTATTTTGTCCGAAGTGTCTTTTTTCATACTGAAATATTTCTTTTGCTGCATTTTTTTAGGAACCTTTTTACCACAATGGATCCTATTTTACTTGTTATGGTCAAGGTTGACGGTTTTTGGGATTCTAACAATGTGTTCAACAATGTCCACACATGTGGCCTTCATGTTAACTATAATGTTCAATATGCTTCTTTTATTAACTCTTTGAGTGACATCCTTTCTCAGTACAAAGCTAATCATAATTTCAGGCTTTCTTATATGCGAGATGGATTTCCTCCTCCTGTTACTATAAATGATCAATCTACCTTAACATTTTATCTTTATATCAAGTCTCTTCAACCAGATTTTTCATTGTATCCACTTTGTGTTGAGTTTTATCCTGTTTCATCTTCTCCTGCATTTTCTATTGATGTTGGACCATCTGCTTCTCCTTGGTCTGAAAATGTTGTCATTTCTTCACAACAACATACCCCTTATGATGAGAATGTTGTTGTTTCTTCTTCCCATGCTTCACAACAACATACCACTTATGAGAATGTTGTTGTTTCTTCTGCCCAACAACATTCCTCCTCACCTACACTTTCTTTTGATGATGGCCCACCATTTGGTCAATATGAAAATGTTATGCTATCTGGGGTAAGTTGTGGCCAATCCGAAGATATTGTTTCTTGTGGTAACACTGTGTCTGCAACTGTAGAAAATGAATCATCTGAAGACAGTGATGACATGTCAGATGGCCTTTTAACTAAATCATCTGACTCATTCTCATTTCTCCAAAATTTTGAAATCATCACACAGTCCCATCCTACTTGTCTTCTTCTCCATGCTATTTACAAAAATAAAAAAGAACTTATCCACCATCTGAAGATGTATGCTATCACAAACCACTTCCAATACAGAACTAAGACATCCAAGAAAATATGTTTGCATGTTATTTGCTTAGATCCAAAATGTTGTTGGAGTGTTCGAGCTGTAAAACTACATGGCGTAACAATGTTTCAAATCAGAAGGTAACTTCAATTTTCCTTCTTTAATTCACTTCATTGTAAATTCTGGTTTATAAGAATGCCATGTTGTGTTGCCATTCTTATACAGGACTGTCAACTTCATATTATGTATTTGTATACTAATGTCATTTTTCTTTTCAGATTCCGGCCAGTTCACACATGCTCTATTGATTACAGACAAGGCAAACATAGACAGGCATCTGCTAGTGTGATAGCAAATATTATTGCACACAAATACCTTGATGCTTCCAATAAACCATACCCCCCAAAGCAAATTCGTGAGGACATGAGTATGCAGTATGGAATTTCCATGTCTTACAACAAAGCTTGGAAAGCACAGAAGAAAGCAATGCAGCTGCAATTTGGTTCTGATCTTGAATCCTATCAGCTTTGGCCTTCAATGGCTTATGTGCTTGAGAAAACAAATCCTGGCTCTATGTTTAATCTAGTCACAGGGAAGGATGATGCATTTTCTACCTTTTTTATGTCATTCAAACCATGGATAGAAGCTTGGCCCTACTGCAGACCTGTTCTTATATTGGATGGTTCTTTCATGAAGGCTTACTATAAAGGCACTCTCCTTACAGCTTGTTGCCAAGATGCCAATGATCACATAGTTCCTATTGCATTTGGTATTTGTAGTTCTGAAACTAAAGCTTCTTGGAAATGGTTCTTATCCAAAGTTTGTCAATCAATAAAGTACAGACATGACCTGTACGTAGTATCTGATAGGCATAAAGGGCTTATCAAGGCCGTTTCTGAACTCTTGCCACATGCTAGCCACGGTTTTTGTGTTGCTCATCTTGGTCGTAACATAACATCAAAATTCAGAGGATCTGCAGCTGGTTTGGGATGGAAGTTCAAAGCTGCCTATATGGCAGCAACTATGAAAGAATATGATGACTACTTATCCATGTTGGATTCTGAAGACCCCAGGATAAGGACTTGGCTAGATAAATTAGGTGCTAACACATGGTCAAAAGTAATGTCTGGCCCAAAGAGATATAATATTATGACATCAAATTGTGCTGAGTCTATGAACAAAGTCAATGTCTGTGCTAGAGAGTATTCTGTGTCTAAACTTGTTGATTTCTTGCGTGAAAGGATGCAGCAATGGTTCACAGAGAGGAAAGATAAAGCTGAGAAAACAAGTACTATACTCACAAAGAAATGTGAGAAACGCCTGGTAGCTTTGCAAGCTGAATCCACACGTATGAAGGTATGTCGAAGCTTATTTTTTGACTTTGAATACCATTAGCCCGTTTTCATTTTTTCATCTCCTTTTATAATTCCACTTTGTTTGTTAATATGTCATTTTGTCTTTATAATTTTGTCATTTTTTGTACTTCATATTCAAATAGTCTTATTAGCGTTTTTATTTATCATTTCTCTTCTACTTAATATTCATATATAAGTTGACATTTTACATACTTCATAACCACATATTACTGCTATATTCTTTTGCTAATTCTCTTTTTTATCTACTTTCATATTCTTATTTTTTTTTTCACAGGTTAAACCATCATGTGCATATGAATTTGAAGTTGTTGACAGTAGATGGAAGTCCTTTGTGGTAAACCTCAACTCTAGAAGTTGTACATGCGGCCACTTTCAATTAGATCTGTGTGTGTTCATGCTGTGGCTACAATCGGTATACGCCCACACCTTTCATGTTATACGTACATATCTCCATATTACACAACAGATGCTTGGCTTGCTACATGGTCTGGTATCATGCATCCTATTGCTGATCCTGACAGTTGGTCAATTCCTGCTACTATTCAAAACCAGAGATGCAAGCCACCAAGTTGTTTGAAGCGTCCTCCTGGTCGCCCTAAGAAATGCAGGATTCCATCCATTGGAGAATATAGAGGTTCTAAACGTCAAAAATGTTCTAGATGCCATGTGCTTGGGCATAATAAGAAAACTTGTAGAAATCCAATTCCAATTAATACCCAGTGATGTAGATTTGTCCACTCATTTTATGTTGTCTTCTGTTTTTTTTGTACTTTTAACAATTCTACTATGTGGTTTGGACTTGGTTATCATTTCGTTGAACGTTTAAGGTTTTGTGCTTTAGCCATTCTTGGCATTTAAGTGTTTATGACTTGTGCTTTATCCAAATGTTTTATCCCAAATGTCATCTCACTAATGTAATGTCATTTTGTTTATGTATAAATGACATATGTGACATTTTATGGCATTTTGTATTCCACAAAATGTCATGTTACTTGTCAATTTGTTGTCATTTATTTACTACATGTAAATGACATTCAATCCTAGTATCCATCTACATGTTACTATAAAAAATGCTCTAGATAAACTGGGCAAGGGGACGTACGTCCCTCTAACAGATAAATTTCAAAGTTGATGTCATTTTGTTTTCTAAAAACTGTCATCCAAATGTCATTTATCACGGATTTTCTTCATGTAAAAATCCGTGCTTACATAAATATAAGTACCCTGTGTAATGCATTAACACAAAGTCATCTTTAATGTAAAAATCAAACAGATTTTTTGAACATAATTCAATAAAATGCATTGTCACAATGCATTGTCATAAAGCATATTTCATACATTCAAAACACAATGAAAGTTGCTTTAACCAAGTTTTTCAAAACGAATGTACTAGATGTCTAGATGTCCTGACATGATATTAAAAGTACTAGTAAATATAACAGTCTTCCAAAACAAACATAATTGTTTCATCCTACAATCCCATTTCTTTATAGCTTCATTTCATTCTCTCTCACCCTGCCTCCTCTTGCTATATAGGACCAGTTCAGTTGCCATTTTTTCTCTAAACAAAGGTATTACCTTCAGGATATATGCCATCCATGTCCATCCCCACCATTAGAAATTCAGCCATCTTGAGCATGAACATTCCACAATTTCCCCTGATGCATAACACCAAAAATTAAAAGAAATATTTTTTAAAATAAAAAAGTACACTATTATACAATCTGATTAAGCAAATTTATATCCTCTTACCCATCATCTTGCTGTGGACATCCTTCTACAGGCTCAACTTCCAAAAACCTTTCACCCATAGGATCCTCACCCATCTGTTCGTACACTTTGTGATAGACCATTATTTTGGGCAGGAGGACTGTTATGCATGCAACATAGGACCTGATATCCCTTAGTGAATCACCTCTTCTAGAATTGGAGTTGTACACTCTTACCTTTCTTTGCTTGATATCTAGTACTACCAAAACCCAATGGTTGCCAGTATTCAGAGGGAAGTACACGAAGTCTGCTTTGCTCCAGTGTAGGCTATAGTTGTTCGCACCTATTATGTCACGAACAATATTTTCTTCTTGTGCTGACTTGTGGTATGTATAGTGCCCCTTTGATATAGTGTCAAGCTCCCGCTTCAGTATTTGCAAGAAAAAAGGCCCAGTTGTGATGTAGTTTTGTGGCAGTTTGTAATGCACCCGTTTCATGCCCAAATAGTACATTACTACCTCAACATGCTGTAAAAAATAAAACACACATTTAACAATTACAAACTAATTCAACTGACTTTGAATGGCATTCTATACAAACAAACATACATATAAATGTACACTTGGGAGTTTGACTGACAAAACTATAACATTTTTGAATTTACCTTGTCAGTGATCCATTCATGATTCGTAAACATGTCATATAACCATGTTTTTGATTCAACTTTCATAGTGTCTAGCAAGAACGGTTTGTGAACCATTTTTTCTTCTTCCACTTTGTACCTTCTGCCATTTTTGTTTTTTTGAAAATTCTTCAACAATCCAACTTGGAGGTATGCTCTCACCCTCTCTATTTCATGATCTGGTGGGCTCTCTGTTGGATCTTCTGTGAAAGGTCCAACTATTTCCTTCAGTGGAGGCAAAAATTCATTGTCAGCTCTTTTCTTACCCTTTTCTCTCTTCCTCCTCTTTGGCGAATGCTCAGATGGAGTGTACTTCACTGGTGACCTAGCAAAACGCTTTTGTTTGGGAAGATCCTCTTGTTCCTGTGGCATTTCCATAATATATATTATTTATTATACTTTTTTATATTTATTGAAAATGTATAAATACACTCAATGTCATACTAAAAAATAATCATAAAAATATAAGCATTATAATCAATTTGTAAAATATTTTGTCATTCAAGTCAAGACAATATTACATAAAATGTTTTGAGATTCATAAAAATCATATATACAATGGTGATATGTACTACAGAAGTCACCAATTTGTCAGTTTCATAACTTCACATAAACTGTATATCACATAACTTTACTAATTTGTCATTAATACTTCGAATGTCACTTTTATGTCAGTTTCATACCTTCCAAATGCTACTTGAATGTCATTTTATTTTTTTTAGTTACCTGATTAGGCTTCACTATGATTGCTGTACATGGATTGGAAGAATAGCTCTCAAAAGCCTTTTTCGCCACTTCATCTGCAGTTTTGCAAATCTCTTTGACAAATTGACTATTGTCCTGTGACCCCATCCCCCAACAAGATTCAGCAGTTTTGTCCATCTCTTGAGACTGACTCAATATGTTAAACCTAGGCTTGTCACAAACTACATCTTCATTGTGCTCGGTCTCTACAACATCTTTATCTAGAACAGCATCCTCATTTTTTGCACCACCATCCCCAATATGTAAAATATCATCCTCAGTCTGTGCAGCAATGTACTCAGTCTCCTCTTGCACATGAATGTCAGCAGTATCATCATCCTTTAGCCTAGGTTCCTCATCATTCTCGTAATCTTGCCCAGTCATGTCATCATCTTCTTTTTTATTAACATTTTCTTCTTTTTCTGGACTTTCATTCTTTTCAACTTTCTCTGTTCTTTCTCTTGTGTCCTCATCTTCACCTTTATCACTGCCTTGTGACATCTGTTTGACAATAAGTAGAACTTCTTTTAAAAGATCTTCCTGCTTTTTTTGAGTTTGCTTAATGTTTTTCATTTCTGCCACTAGTCTGGCAGTCTCCTTAGCTTGTTTCCTCATGCTTTTTTGCATACTGTTACTATGTTTGCTCATGAACATAATATATTTCTCTGCTTTTCTTCCACTATCACTTGAATCATCTTCTTCATCCTCACTCTCAGTGCCTTCATCACTCTGTGTTTCCTCATCACTTTCAAATTCCATCTCAATCTTCTTTCTTCTTTTAGAAGTTCCCTCGCCAGATTTACCTTTTCCCTTCATTACTTTTCTTGTTTTCCTTTTCATGCTTCTGGTCTGTATTGCCTTTTTTTTGCCTTTTTCTGCAATAGCTTTCATCTTTTCAGCATCTAGCCTCCCCACATTTGGAATAACAATGTCCATTCCATGTCCACCTCTGTCATTGTTTCCTCCAATCATGGCAATCTCTTCTTCTGTTGGTACGATCTGTGTCCACTCAAACTAAACAAGTACACTTTGTTAGTAAAAAAATTGTAATATTATAATCTAGATATATTTAGACTATTAACACTAATACCTTGTCATTCTTGAATATTATTTGGGAAAGCACCTCCAGTGTAGGTTTTTTCTTGAATTCCCACTTCAGTGTCCTTGGTAAGATGTTTTCTCTGCCCTTTATTAGCTTGCACAAACCACCTTTTGCAAGTCTTGGGAATGTCTCAAATGCCCACCATTGTAAAGCCACCATGTACCCAGGGAATGTAACTCTGTCCCCTTTGCCTTTATCTAATGCCTCACAACTTTGTTTTATTTTGTCAACCAACTCGTTCCAAACATCATCACCCCATGGGTAAGCATTGAATGCATCCAAATCGTTTACCAGGTTTATGTAGTATGCTTTCATAGGCCTGGCAGTTTGATTCCCAAACAAACAATGGGACAATATGTGTAGTAGAGCCAGCTTCACTCCATCCTTTGTCATTCTTCCTTCATCAGTGCTCTCATAACTCTTCAATGCATTTTGGATATCTGCACGGGACACTGTAGCCTTGTTTCCAAAATATCTTCTCCATATATCTCCCTCAGGCTCCTCTGAAATATTTGGCTTCAGACTCCCAAATTTTAAACCACACATTGTTGCCATATCAGCCTTTTGAAAACTGATTACACTGTTTTGAATATGAAATCTGATGACACTGTCATCTGCATTTCCATTAACTTCAGTGACATAGTTTCCAACAAATCCTAACAGTAGTTGTCCACTATTCCAAGACATATCTTCAATTTTTAACATCCAACCAAATATGGTGTTACTGAAATCAGTCAGTTCCTCAGTGCTAAGACATGTCCTTATTCTTTTAAGAACTTCAGCAACATTGCAGTAAGAATTGACACGCAAGTTTTCCAAGTCCACTAACACTGACTTCTTGAAAGCTCTTGTTATTGTATGTCAAGTTCACACAAATATAGGCATTATAATCAATTTGTAAAATATTTTGTCATTCAAGTCAAGATATTCATAAATAACGTGGTAATATTAACTACTTAAGTCATTAGTTTGCCAGTTTCATACTTTCCCATAAATTGTGATAATTCTTGCAATTTCACTTTTCATTCAGAATGCCACCATATTCTTCTCTATTTTGCATTATGTTGTTTTATAACAACATCACAAACTACCAATGATCTGCTAAATTCTCACTAAAATGTCACTATTCCAAGCAAACTGTCATCACAGTAATGATACATACTTACAACCCCACTACATAACCACATATTAGTGGAATGTCACTTTTCATACAAAATGCCACCATATACTTCTTTATTTTGCACTATTTTGTTGTATAACAACATCACAAACTACAAATGATCTGCTAAATTCTCACTAAAATGTCATTTATGTGTCAGACTTTCAATTGCCATTTCAATGTTGTGTTAATTTCTGTTCAATCTAAGACATATTCATAAAATGTCACTATTTCAAGCAAACTGTCATCACAGTAATGATACATACTTAAAACCCCACTACATAACCACATATTAGTGGAATGTCACTTTTCATACAAAATGTAACCATAGTCTTCTTTATTTTGCACTATTTTGTTGTATAACAACATCACAAACTACAAATGATCTGCTAAATTCTCACTAAAGTGTCATTTATGTGTCAGACTTTCAATTGCCAATTCAATGTTGTGTTAATTTCTGTTCAATCTAAGACATATTCATAAAATGTCACTATTTCAAGCAAACTGTCATCACAGTAATGATACATACTTACAACCCCACTACATAACCACATATTAGTGGAATGTCACTTTTCATACAAAATGTCACCATATACTTCTTTATTTTGCACTATTTTGTTGTATAACAACATCACAAACTACAAATGATCTGCTAAATTCTCACTAAAATGTCATTTATGTGTCAGACTTTCAATTGCCATTTCAATGTTGTGTTAATTTCTGTTCAATCTAAGACATATTCATAAAATGTCACTATTTCAAGCAAATTGTCATCACAGTAATGATACATACTTAAAACCCCACTACATAACCACATATTAGTGGAATGTCACTTTTCATACAAAATGTAACCATAGTCTTCATACACACTTAAAATGCCACCATATAAGAACATGATGCAATGAAATGTTTTTACATTCAAACGATTTAAACTTTCTAAACTCCTTTAACTGTCAAACTTTTGTCAATTTCAGACATTCCTCTACTCAACGAAATTAGTACTTACTATTTTGGAATTGATTCTGACGGAAACTTTGTTTGACAAATCCATAGCTCTGTCCATCAACTCTGCTCAACGATTCTACTCTCCTCAAATTTGAGGGTCGTCTAAGACGAAAGTTTACTACCTCTGTGCTTTGAAGTTTTGAATCGAAGTGCACGTTTGATACTCGTAGAATGTCTGGTCTCTTCAATCGCAGCTCTCAACCGTTCCGATACATGTTCATTTAATTTTGAATCTCTTTTTCGGCGGCCATGATCATAATGGATGCTTGGAAACCGGGAATAGCCGGGGGAAAGAAGTAACCGTCAAATAAGGGAAGAGTACGTGTGTATGGTTTAATGAGGTCATTTTTGGCAATTCAGCGTATATTTGGTCCTATGCGAGTCGGGGGAAAAGTGGATGTCCTATTTTTGAAATTTTGATAAGTAATAGTCCTATTTTGTAAAATTTCTCTTTTTCTTTTTGTTGGAGATTGATTTTTTATTTATATCTATGTTATTTGAATTGCTTTAAAGAGAACCGTGTTTTTAACATGTGGTGCGCAAAATGTTGGAACATAATTATTCTATTTATTGTTCAAAATTGATTATTCAATCATGAATAGGTTATTATGGAGTATTAGTATTTGTACTGATTTATTTTATTGATTTATTATAGCAATAGCATAACTGCTTTTATATTTGGCCTTTTTCAGTTTTTCCATGAATATTAATACGTACTAATTTAAATTCAAAAGTAAAAAATATAACTTTTCTTAAAAATTTTCAAAAAGTGACATAATCACTGATTAATTCTCTATGACTCATCATCTCCCAATGATTTGTTACTCTGAAATACGAAGTATATTATAGTGACATTTTTTAATTATTCATATTTTTTGTCCCGTCTAACTCTATTAGTACTACCTCCGTCCTTTAAAACTTTGTCAAAGTTGACCGACACAGAGAATAATAAAGTAAAAACTGTGTGGTTAAGGTGTGTGTAGAGGAGAGAGAAATAACAGAAACCACAAAATAATTTATTAAAAGGGAAAGTGGCAAAGTTTTTTGGGACGTCCCAAAAAGGAAATATGACAAAATTTTAATGGACGGAGGAAGTACGGAGTATAACTCTAGTCTAGTACGGAGTAGTTTTTTACAATTAGTCTGGTCTGACGACCTACTACTCTAGTAGACATACAAAAGCAACTAGGCCTAGCGATTAGACATGCACTAATTACAATGAAGATACATAAGTTATGATTTTATTACTCCCTCCTTCCCATATTTATTTTCGTAGTTCGGTTTACGATGATTGACCGATGATAAAACAACTTCATCCCTGTTCACATTCAGATTATTTTTAGTAAATTAAATTT